CTGGAGGTGTGATACCATTGCGTTGTCTGTTGTTCGCTTAAGAAAAAAATATTTTTGGTTCATTTCCGTAATTCCGACATCAGGTAATGACTCCGCTGGAATCACTCCCTAAAAGAAACGGGTTATGTCTGGTGGCCCGCTTGCCACGAGCTGAAGGTTGCACTGCACAGCTGGTATTTCTTATGCGCTCCAGAAAAAAAAGATCTTCTTTTATTATTTGCTTTCTTAATGTTGACCTCAAATCAGGTCCCATTGGGAATCACGCCACATAAGTCTGGAATTTGTTTTATTACTGATTGAAGTTTGTACTGCACTGTAGGAACTCTGTATAAATTCAAAAAAATAAATATCTGTTTTTATATTATTTCGCTTTCTTAAAGTCGACATCAAGTCAAGCATGAGCGGTTATCACTCTTTACGAATAACCGCAAATGTGTGGAAGCTTGCTTCCTCCCGAATGGAGTGTGCTCCGCAGTTGCCGTGTCTATTATGCGCTCAAGAGGAACATATTCACTTTTTCTTGATTCATTCGGTTTTTTCTCTTGGCGATATTAAGTCTTCGTTTTGCTGGTATTATTTTTTAAGATATGCTTAATTAATGTTTCTAAATGATATTGTTTTTGTTATGCTTATATTAATTAGGTGGAAGAACTTTTTTTCAAATTGGTGCGATGAAATTGGATCATCAAATACTGGCGCTGTCGTTTGGGAAGTAAACAAGATATATACTTCTAATGGCCGAAGGGGCAATGGTTAGTGTCATAATTTATAACCGTTTGCTTATGTCACATTTAAGATCTTAATATGACTGCATTTTGATTCATAAGTTCGTTTACGGAGATGCATACACTTCATTACTTCGTACCTATAGAAAGCACACAACGTCTAAAGCATTACGAAGAAAAAACAAGATGTAACAACTAATTTAGTATATTGTTTCCGTGCATTCTTTTTATTTGGAGACAGTCGGTCGTAGTGTAATATTCTGTAAAAAAAAGTTTGTACTGGTATGCTTGGAACTAACTTGAAAAAATTATGGAAGAAGAAAAAAAAAGGGGTAATGATTTATCCTCTGTTTGATCGGATTTCCTGCTCATGTGTCGTATTTAATTTGTGTGGAATCTGGAATGTGTGGCATGCAGCCTGCGACAAGTATATAATAATACGGAACAATTTTTGTTTTCCATCAGTGTTAAAGATAATAGCCGAAACATGCCTGAAAATAGTGGATCCTGGTTTTTGAGAGTGTTCTAAAGGAAACATTTGGTGGAGGAGATTCTAGTAACGGCCAGAAAAAAGTAATGTTGATTGATGTTGATATTTAGCGGTTTGCTGACCCGATTATTTATTTTATTAAGACTTTAGATAAGATGTTGTTTGTGATTTAATGGCGACGAATGTTATTATTCTGCATGTTCTCGGTATATATATTTGGCTGTGATGTTTAAGGAATTATTGTATTGTGATGACGTACGCTGCCGCTTCGTACTTATCTGCTAATATTGGTTGATATTTACTAGATTCTATGGACTGCCCGAATGTGTCTATTGAAATAGTGAAGCCATGTGGATGTTTATTCTCACAAGTTTCCGAAGAAAAATAAAGCTACCGGCATACTGCAAAAAAAATATTTCCTAAAGTTATCGTAATTATATTAGCTTTGTAAGAATCTACATCAAATAACATAAATCATGAATAGGATCCTTCAATTATATTGAGGCACCTATAGCAAGATCCTAAAAGGTAGATCATCAATGCCAGTATATCAATGATAAAATTGGAAGTTTAATTAGACTTTAGAATTTCTACATGCTGGGCTATATGTAACACAAAAACACATTAATTATGCTGGTAAGACAGTTGCGTATTCCTGCTTGGGTCCTTCTGGGTATTTTTTATGCGATTTGCAATCATTAAAATATGTGGTTTGAAGTTCTACACTCATGTTTTCGGAAGGCGTGTGTTGTTGAACACAAATTTAAACCCACAAATGGATAATATAAACGTCAGAGGATTAAACTGATATTCTTAAATGATATTGAAGTACATAAATTATCATTATCGCGGCCAAAACATAAAAAGTCACCATAAGTATCCTTACTAAACAACAAGGATCTTTCAAGCAGATATTAAGTGAAGTGTACATCGTCGATAGAGTTAGTATTGAAAATTCGGATAAATGTTCTTTGAATAAAAAACGCTATATATATTACATTTATAATTATCAAAACCCTTAAAACATGAAAAAGTGCTTTTAATGTGCTTATGGAACCGGTCAAAAATAATAATTTCTGAACCAATAATACAAAATGTTATGGCTTAAAATTATGGAATACTAGCGAATAAACTTTCATGATGGAGTTCACAATTCCTATATATCGACTATTTTTTAGGATCTTAATTGATCCATAGATGGTAGATATGCGTATTGGACTCCATATTCATATATTATTTTTGACTATAGATGTAAAATGGTTTTCAGCTATATACAAGAATACAGATTCATTGCGTGATTGGTTAATTATAGACTGCCAATACGTTCATTCTTAATTAGTAGACTTTGTTTGCATTATGGGTTTTTTGATCAGTATAATTCGGTAGTGGAAGTCCCCCTTCCATCCAAATTTCCTGTCCCCATTCGAGGTAAAACAACCCGCACCAGCCGTAGCAGTTTAATCCAGGACATTTTTGTGACTGGATTTTCGCTCAGCCAGTGACTGCATTCTAGCTGTTTTATAAGGGTCGGACCTCATCCGTTTTTCTAAAAATAAGACGAGGTCCGACGGTAATAATACGGGATATGTGACAAAAAATCTGATTTCCGACGCTAATAAAACGTGATATGGGGAAAAAATGGATGAGATCCGACCCTAACCATAACGCTTGTCCAAGACAAAACATAGTTCCTACGGACAGCCCGCCTTCTCTATCGTTATATGGACGAAGCTGAGCCAAAAATATTTTAAGTTAGCCTAGATTATATAAGGTATCACTTTAAATTAGGGTAATTAAGAAGATTGTTATCCCTTGTAATGATTTTATTTTGACTCATATTGTCATAGTTGTATAATAAAAATATGTATAAAACTATTAAAGAATATGGCTAAATCTACATCTAGAATGAACTATCTGTGGAAACACAACAGCGCACGACTTCGTTACAAAACACGCTCAGCTGATATTGTACACACGCAAATGTAAAATTGAATCAAATGACCATGAAACAACGCAATGGAAAAAAGCTACCTTTTTTTTTCCTTTCTATCTTCTTGCTCTTTTTTTTTCTCTTTTTTTGAACTTTTTTTTATTCATTTTTTTCATTTTTTATTTATCATTTTAAATTTCCTTTTCTGTTGTTTTCTATCTTTAAATTTAAGCAATATGACCAGTTAAATAGTGTCGAAGAACGTGATTTTTTTATTTCATTTCCGACATAGCACATAACCTCTCGTATGATACGGTTTATTTTCATGAACCGCCTAAGTTTCGGTTGCATATAATTATGCAAAATGTCTCAGACCATTATTGAAACCCAACTAGACTATTGCGCTTGCTGCACCCGTTCCCTGATCTCTGTCTCCTGTCACGCATGTCACTGTCAAACATAACTATTGTATCCTGTCTTACATCTCTGTTCCAAATAATGTACCTCCTTTTTCCCTTTCTTTGTAAAACCCATTTTACATCCGTTTCATTTTTACCTCAGCCTTGGAACTCCCTTCTAAGACATTAATAATATCTACCATGTTATCCTCTGATTATACCTCCGAAATTGTTTGTGTCTCTGCTCACTACCACAAAGATGTCTCAAACTCAACAGGACTAATAATCTGTCTCTGTAAATCTGATCCCGAACCGTTGTGTACTCGTCATGTCAATTAATACCAATAACCACTTGTTTGTTTATACTTATTTCTCTATTCAAAATCTTATCTATTTTTGCTGTCCTCTTTGAATAAACCTTTTGTTCTTTTCGTTCCGTTTTACATACATATTAATAATGATACGTATATAATTTCTGTCTACCTGTTCTTACCTAAATGATCATTCTTTTTTGCTTGTGCCGGGCGCCACTCCTGACATCCCTTCAGGAAGAAGTAAGCGTCCACACATGTGCTATTCATCTAGAGATTGATTCTAGCAAAGCCTTGGCTTGATGTCGCCATTAAGAAAGTGTAATGCATAAACACAAGCAATTTGTTATTAACTGCATATGCAACACCCCGAATGTAGTACAAACTTCAATTAGCAATAAAAAAGCTTGCGGACATATATGGCTGTTCATAAAGACTGATTCGTAATGAGGGATGACTTGACCTCGCCATGATTAAATGAAAGAGAATAAAAGAAGTTCTTTTTTTTCTTTAGCACATAAAAGATAAACGCGGAGCCGTACAAATCTCATTCTGCAACACACAGGCTACCATACATAAAACGTTATTTATAGAGAGTGATTCCAGCAGCGCCTTATCCAGATGTCGTCATTAAGAAATTGAAGCGAAGAATAAGATCGTCTTTTTCCTACAGTGAGTGGACAAAACTGTTCGAGTGTTTTTAAAAAGCTACATTTCCTCTTATTTCGATATGCTAATAGCATACAAAAATCGGCCAAAATTACGTACAATAGTAAATTGACTATTATAAATAAAAATAGGTTTTATTTAAACTCAGTCTCATTTTTGGTGTAACAAAAATTACATAAAATTCTATGGACACTCGAACAGTTTTGTCCAATGGAAAATTTTACGACTAATATTTGGATCTTCCTCCTTTGGCCTTGATAACCGCTTCAATCCTTTTTGACATAGATATTATAAGGTCTTGACACAACTTTGGGGTAATTTTGTCCCATTCCTGGGTGATCCGGTGTAATAGCTCCGTTAAGCTTTTTGGGGATGTTTCGTAGGCGCAAAGTCGTTTTTTTATTATCGCCCAGAGATTCTCGATCGGATTTAGATCCGTGGAATATGAGGGCCAATCTAACACGCGTACGTTATTGTTTTGAAACCAGTTTGTTGCCATTTTCGAGGTATGTTTTGGATCATTATCCTGCTGAAATACGACATCCTTGATATTTCGATTGTAGTAACTAACACTGGACGTTAGATCGTCGCTAAAAATATTACAGTATAACTAGCTGTCCACGGTACTATTGATACGAACAATGTATCCAGGACCTTCCCAGAGAAAACAACCCCACAACATTACGTTTCCACCGCCATGCTTGTACAAATGTTGGAGATGACAATCTCGGATCTCTTCTTCTGTGACATTCCAAAACCACTGAGCCCCGTCAGAGCCAATACGGTTTATTTTCGTTTCGTCACTAAAAACAACATTCTTCGAATCATCAACAGTCCAGTTTTGGTGGAACTTGGCCCAAAAAAGTCTTGCCTTTTTACGGCTTGCTGTTAATGTCAGTACTTTAGGCTTATGTTCAGCTTTCATCCCGGCTGAATTCAACATGCAGCGAACAGTCCTTCCGCAGACAAAAAATTCTTCCTTTTTTAGAGCCTCAACAGCATCCTTGACAGTCTTGTTCACATTTGTTTTGAAGCCTCTAATCAATGAGCGGCCTGTTGATGTTTAAATCTTGTGAGGTGCTCCACCAATTTTTTTGTGAATGCCAAGATTAGCTTGTTTTTTTATCTTTGCAATAGTTGACAAACTAACAGACACTGTTTTTGCTATTTCTCGAAAAGAAAGCCCGTCCTTTAGTAATTTAATGATCTCGTTTTTTAATGTCAAAGAAATGCTTTTTGTCATCTTAATGGGTAAAATCTTATATTAGGAAAATAAAGAGAAAAAAATAACATGTGGACTAGCCACCAAAACCTGTCCGAAAAATTTTTTTGGGCTCATATGACTGTTTTTTCGAAGGATTTTTATGGTTTTCTAAAAACTTTCAGCATTGGACATAACTGTTCGAGTGACAAGCAGTTTTAAACACAGAATATCCGCTTTTTTTGTGACACAAAACGTCCAAAAACGTTATTGCTGGTGTAGCAACGCTTGCACTGATATCTGTCAAAATTTGAAATTATTTCGAGGAGTTTACACATCGTTGACAATGATGGGACTGAAACTTTCTAAACACTCGAACAGTTTTGTCCATTCACTGTAAGCGCCCACCAAACACCGCAATGATATCACACACTTCAGTCAGGGAAAACCAAGCTTCCACAGCCACGCCATTATTCATAGAGAGTCATTCCTGCAGATTCTTCACTTGACGTCGTCAAGAATGATGCGAAATGAATACAAAAAAAAAAGATTTTTTTCTTGCGCGAATAAGATACCCCACCAGCACTGTACTTATTCCAGTCAGCAAAAAGCGCTTTTCCGGACTGTAGACTTTATTTACAAGCAGTGAATTCAATAGAGCCATGAGCGAATGTGGCTATTAAAAAACCGAACGTTATAAAAAACAAGGCCCTTTCGTTTCCTTTCAAATTGGCCATCAAATTACATATTAAGAAGCATCCTAAATATTTCTTCGGAAGCAGCAGTTATGCTATTACGTACCAATTATGCTTTATCTTAAATATAATATACGTCAAGATTTCAAGCGTATTGCCGGTAGTTTTGGATAAATAGCGTGTTGCATACATATGGTTGTAGGTATGAAAAAGATCTTGAAGTATCTTCTGATTTACGCATATGTTATCAAATAAAAAAATGGCTACGATAAAACTTAACGAAATTGACCTAAATTGTCATACAAAAACATTAAGTGTTCAAACTCTTCTATGCTGTCTAGTTTGTTTCTTACCATCCTCATGTGAGCTTCTACATGTGTTCAGAATTTTATTATTTCCAACATTTAAACTGCAACGGTTTTGTAAGCCGAATGAGCACAGCTTCAAAAATTACTAACGTACCATATTTAAATCGTCTTTATAATGATGAACTGGTAAGTATCGCGTGACCCTCTAAACAAAGAATTATGATGAAATGTTTTCCGGCAGAAAATGTTTCTTTGGTTAACGACCTTCCAATAAATTGATTCTGTTAGGAATATTTACTATGCTAATGCCTTTTTTGTCAACTACACAATGAATTAAATGTTCATTTTAATAACCCACCCTTTTCAATTACTACCAAATTAGACTCACTGGTATTCATCATATCCTCACCGCTACACCGACATCTGCTCCTACACGAGCAATTGTTATTTCGTTTGAGCCAGCACTCGTTAATAATACTGCAGGCAGAGCAACACTCATTGCACATCATAGATTAGCAAGACTTGAAAAAAATGGTGCTACCGTTAATACCGCGTTTTTCGCTGCTACTGAACTCAGAACGTCTGTCGAGTTCGAGTGGTCTGTAAATATTTAACCCAAATATGTAAAAAATATATGAAACATAATTGCAGTTCACTGGAATGTATTTGTAAAATAGTAAGGCTTAAATAGCGTTCGCGAAATTTCTGGGTGGATGTTCGATTATAGCTATAAATCCACGGTTAACATCCTTTTGCACGATTACCTTTAGGAGGAGGATACAAAATATGATAATATTGCTGTTACCATGCATAATGATACTCGTTTTCCTGTCGCAAAAAAAGCGGCTTATTCCTAGGTTACGGAAACATCACTATCAATAGTCGGCGGATGTAGAGAAGATATCTTGTGATATCGAGATATGTTTTGCTGCTTTAGCAGCAAATAAATACTAGTTTCGCATACAAACATTCAGTAGTGTCATTACGCATAATTGTTGTCAATATATGTACCCCTTACTAAATAAGCACTTTACAAGTTTATATGCGAAAAGCCGATATCCTACTGTATTTACACATTCAACATGCGCCGACTTAACCATATCACATTTCCTTTAAAACAATGTTCTGTTCTTCGTTGTGTCATAGGCAAATGTATGAAAAGAGAAATTAGACATTCGTATTATTTAAAGATTTTTGATTGAACCTCTTTATACGCATATAGAAGCTTAGAACAAAAAATAAAATCGAAAATCCCTGATGATTAAAATATCGACAGTATTATGTAACGAACGGCAATTTATTTGTTCATTTGAAATATAAAAATGATGTACTTTTATACCACTTCCTGGATCATCCTCCTGGAGATGTGGATTACGGTCACCTATTAGAGCCTTTTTATTAAAACGTTCTGTTAATTAGCAGTCCTATTGTGGACTGTCTTATGTCTGAAGATCTCTTGACTATCAGTGCTTTCGAATAGTACAAAAAACAATGTGATACGTTATCGGAGTCTATTCTTCAAATACATTTACATGTGGACTATATTCCACAGCACGGGACAAGTTTTGACATAATTCACAGGTACATTTCACTAGCGTCTTTAAATAAAGGCTATTAAGGTACATTGCTAATGGTGGTAATGAGCACGTTCTGTTGATCTTGAATATCGAAAACCAAGATAATTTTTAGCTCTATCGTCAAAGCCAAACTAGCTATGTTATAATAAGATGGGGTCATATTTTACATATATCTTACATGTCCATGGGTAGACTGTATTTTTTTTTTGAATACGTACTCCATACAATGACATGCTTTTAACCAGCACTGGAAGTCATAAAGAAGCATCCGGCCGCTTTGTGAAGCTCTTGTATTCCAACTATTGTACCCTACGCAAGTAACGAAAAATAAAAGTTGTTACTAACATTGCCAACATTGTCATAATTTTAACATTGTTGAAAATGATGAAACACTTAATAAATGTAACGAAGCTGATACCCGGGTTATATTTCTTGTTTTATTATTTCATCGTCTATAAGTTATAATGAGGAATTGAAAAAAAATCAAGAAACATTTTTAACTTTTTCTAATTAATAAGGGCCAGTTACAAAATATGAAATCCCGCCATCTCACGTTTTTGATAATTTTTTCACTATGTACAGACAAATATATACCAACATAGGTTAGTGCAATAACCAAGATTAATGTTGGAGGCTCGATATAGTTGTGTTGTTAAGGAAATAAGTAATTTAGAAGTCATAAAGAAATACTTATCCTGCTAAGATAAGTTAGATGTATGAAACAAATTCTTAGATTTTAGGATACTGCGGTTTGATTATTCCAGTAAACGAGTGTACAATCATAGACAGTTGGTTACCCATTACAGTTAAATGGAATGAAGAAGATGTACGTAAGGGTTTGGATCTCAATTTCTACTTACACAATGTGGGGAAGTATTCCACCAGAAATTGCTCCTCATCTTCTTCAGGTAGATGAAACAGATGAGGTAATCATAGGTTTTATATCCGAATTTTCATTTACTCCATTGGGAAAGCCTTTCTCCAAAGACAGATTATCTATTGTTGTTTCAGCTCAAAAGACTAGCCACCAAGAAAACAGAAGGCTTGGGTTTTCTACTAATACACCCTGTTACTTTTCACTTTTAAGGTTAGATATTTGTTTCTATGTTACAACATATAATACTGTATGTTTATAAAGAAAGAAAGCCGAGTATTATAACACATACAATGACTTACTTTGAGAAATAAAGGGTACAAGCTAAAAAAATTAGATTTGTATTTTTTAAAAGCCCAAGTGAGAATCAAAAAGTCTCACAATTTTAATGTGGTTTGAATAACGATCGTACAGTTGTACAGTTAAAACAGAAGGTAATCACTTATTTAGTTGTTCGTTATGAAACTCGTTAGCCATCATTTGTCAAATGCGATCTTAGTTTGACTTTATTTTCTTCTATCAATTTTACATAAATATATATTCAAATACGTAAAGTTATTAAACGTATATTTACTGGGTAATGATGTTTCATCATATGATGATGATATCATCGCTGCAGTAAATACGTACCACCGGGTTTATGTTGAATGCAGTATTTATATTTTCAGTTAATCCATACTCATTGTTTAAGAATAAATTATACCCGAGCTAATTCAGTTTAATTTTATGCAATAGAACTGAATTGAAATACAAAATACTGGTATGTCTTATCAAAAGTTATTAGTTATTAAACGCCGCGTCAGCTGTTAACATCCTCAGGTTATAGCCATGTCATTTCGTTTTCTTTACCATAAAAAGAGACATGTTCTCTATATCAGCTACAACTCCCATAGCATTATTGTCTTTATTTTATACGGAACTACTGAAATTTAAGAATCACAGAGACTATCCCTGATGCGAAGCTTCAAAATTAGCTCTCAAACTTTACTACCAGTAAAATGCTGGGCATTTAAAAGTTTATATACAGACAAATTTGTCTAGTCATGTGGAGAGTAAAGAACATTGGGTGTTACTGTGCCACTTTCAAACCATGAGCTACATTAGAGATAAAAGACATTTGATTATTCAATGGTTTTTATAACGGTGTTAAAATGACTGCTACAATTAGTTACAGCATTGGGCGTATCGTACACGCTTCTCCAAAGATATTGCAGAGGTGGATCAAGTTTGGTTTGTTCGACTAGCTGTTTTCTAGTCCATGTGTTAAAGATTATAAACATGGGCAAAGTAATTTATAAGGATGGGCTTGAAGTCATTGAGAAAAGAAAAAAAAGAAAAAAACTTAAATAAAACCAGGGTGTGTGGGGTTCTGGACCATATTTTTGAATTGATTGGTCTTTATCAAAATGTAATTGGTTCAACTTAAAGAAATCGAGATGTCACCATACAATCCCCTTCTTATGGTGTGACTTTGGTAAAGACACCTTCAGAATCCATGATATTAAATCCTTTAATGATTGAGGGGTAATACTCTCTGTTTGAGTAATAATTTGATTTGGATATGGATAAAGCCGATGAGAGGATATGCTTATTGGTCAATTAATATTGTTTTTCTATACTCTACAAACACCTTGCATTTATATACAAATCACAACCTTATGGTACTACTTTCGTCCAGATAGCCCTTAAATCAACGATTTTGCACGCGTATTTAAGTTCGGCATTTACCTGAGTTTCAAACAAATCGATTTGTTTAAAAAAAAGAGATAGAACAAGTCCTTGGGACAGTAAAGTATTAATAGCGTTGGGTATATTGGTCCTAAATTTTTCAGTAGGAAAGAATCAGTATTGTTACTCATATTCTATATTATATGTAAAATACAGGCTCATTGTTTCCAGGGGATCCGTTTTGTTGGTGTAACCTTGCATTTTCAAAGACTCAATCTTTGTTTTTTTTTTGTTTATTCTTCGACATTTTCCTTTTTTTTTTTTTTTTTTTTTTTTTTTTTTTTTTGTCTACTGTACATAACATTACCAATTTTTTGGTTCAATGTGTGGAATGTGATAGCTACAAACATACTCACGCCTATAGATGCCATGTAAGTTTTTTATGACCTTTGATCTCATCATTCGAACAAGTTACATTCCTTACCATTTTTAAAAGCCACCGTCTAATTCTCATGCAAAAAGTTTTGGTAAGACTCCTATATTCGTATGTCTTCTAAATTTAATTAAATTAATATTAATCCAAGTTACTGTTCTCACTTTTGGTCTTCTTCTTTGCCATGGCTCACAGAATGGCCTACATTACACATGACTCAGTCTTCACTTTACATTACCCCCATTACCTTTTAGACAAAGAAGTTTAAGCCGCTTTTTGACCCTCCTAAATTTTTGCTTCTTCCGATGTAATCTTAACTAGGTATAATATTGTGGATTACTTTTTTGTTTTCTCTTATTATTCGTTAACCTTAACTGTTTAGGAAACACTACACGATATGTACGTTTCGATAAAATGATTCAATAATTGACACCCAAACCAATCGTACACAAACCATGAACATTAATAATTCGTTAATGTATCTTTGGTAGGACTATGAGAATCATATTCCGAAAAGACCCACTTACATATGTCAGGGTTGTCCATGATCTTATTAACGCATCTCGTAAGTTTGTAGTTAAGAGTGGATATATCGGTACAAATTAGGACCATAAAATAAAATTGATGATGGTTGGACAACGGCCGGTGTATTCAAACAACAATTCTCTCAACGAGTGAAACGGTCATGGATTCACGTAAAGTAATTGAAAAAAAAATAATGTAAGGGTCCGGACGACAATATCAATCCGTGGACACTTAAAATTGATGGATGAATGGTAAAAATCAATGGATGTATGCTTAAAAGCAATGGATGGATACTCAAGACCAGTGCATCCTTGCTTCAAATTAATGTGTACACATTATTTACTGTAACACAAACAATCGCATGGTGATAGTAACGAGCTATCTTTATTTTCTTAGATACCGAGTATCATCTTATTCTCTTGAAGCCATTTTTTCTTTTCTTTTGCTTTTAAATATATCATTTTTTAATGGTAATCTGTGCAATATTCTTATTTTAAACTTGCTTTCAAGACGAAAACTATAAATTGAGGGAATTATTAGGACGCAGTTATTAATTTTGATGATCAATAATAGTTAAAGACTTATTTTTATGAACAGACGTACGAAATGTAAGCATTAGACAAATCTAAATACGGCATATAAGTCACGTAATAGGTACAAAATATATTAAATAAAATAGGACACATTCAATACGAGACAAAACCTTATAGATATACTCCCTGAAAAAAGGAACCTATTATGCCTCATGGTTAACCACAAAATTCGTTTTACGATTATACCATACGTAGTCTCATTATCTAAAAAAAAGGCATGTACTCTCCGTATGGTACAACGGATCTCAGTCTATAGTAATGTCGGTATATTGTAGAATATTCCAGTTTCTAGCGTTTATATCTTGCTTAGATAACATACTCCTGTAATTGCATATATTTATTTAAATTGCATACCTCTTCTGTCCGTTATTTATGCCACATGAGTATTTATCTAGGCAGGGTAAATGTTCTATTAATTTTGAGTAAAATATAAACATAGGTCAAAGATATAGACATCTTTACCCTTTCCAATAAACTGCGACAGTCAAGCCTCCCGGTAAGAGTGTGGACGTACTGATTTAATTAATAAAGGCCAGCACCCTAAAACCTAAAAATCATCTGACCCTTCTCATTTATCTTAACAGGATAAGCATATAAATATGAGAATTAAATCGGATATTTGAGTTAAAAAACAAGGAAACCGAGTCTCCAACACCAACATCGGCCTTGACATTAACGAATGTAGGTATTTATCCGTCTGTGGATGGTTAAGAGCCCATTCACAAAAATAAGCTGGCGTGGTTTAAAATTTTGAATGGGGCCTTTGTTAATTAGGAAAGGTCAAAAAATTTTCTTCCCTTTTTCTCCAAGTCCTCATCCTAGCTCATTCATATTGAAATAATAAAACAAGAAATAGAATCTTGGTATGTCACCTTCTTTACATTAGATGATTGTTATGCCATTTTCAGCAATGTAACAATTGTGACAATGACTGCAATGTTACTAACAACTTTCTTCACATTTACTTGCGTAGTGTACAAACGTTGAAATACTAGAGCTACACGAAGCGTAGAATCGTCTTACTTTATCGAATTTGTTTTCAAAAAAAATACGGTCTTCCCATGTACCAGTTAGTCATATGTGAAACTTACCAGATCTTATTATAACACTGTTATTTTGGCTTTGAGAACGAAGCTAAAACATACATTGTCGTTTGGTGATTCAAGTCAAACAAAACGTGCCTATTACCACATTTATTAACGTACTTTGATTTCTTTTCTTCAAAGAACCTTGTGGAGTATAGTTGAGAATTTTGACCAAAAATGCTACCGCTGTATGAATATTTCACATTTATATAGATTGGACGAATTGGCTCCGGTAAAGTATAATTTTTTTTACTATTATTTTAAGAACCTGAAAAAATAACTAGTTAGTCATGATATCTTTAGAAAAAAGAAAACCATCATCATCACTACTACTTAATATAAGGTTTTGATATCAAGTCTCCAATAGGTGACCGAAATTCACATTCCAGCAGGATGATCCACTAAGTCAGATAAATGTAAATCCTGTTTGTATTTCATATCAGGTAAAAGAGCCGTTCGTTCCATGATACTGTTGGTATTTCTACTACCAGTGACTTTCGATCTTTTTTTTATGTATATTTCTGTTAGAGTATGTAGTGGTGCAATACAAAATCCTTAAATAGTATAACTAAATAACTCATTTCAAAAATTTGACAGAAACAGAAGGAAGAACAGAACAGTGGTTTGATTGGCGCATGTTGAAAGTGTAATTACAGAGAGATATGGGTTTTTGATTACCAACTTGTCAGGTTTTCTTTTGTGAGGCGTGAGTAATGTGCCAAAAATTAGGAATAATTACTTTACTGACCTTTTAATATCGAAACTAGTGTCTTTGGCTGTTACAGCAGCAGGAATTCGTACAATATCACAATAAGTCTTGTACCTCTCTCCATCCTGCCAAATGTTCATCGTGATGTCTCACTTTATCTTCACAAAAAGCTTTTTGCAACAGAAAAAGCAGGGTTTTATGCAGGACAGAAGCAACATTATCATATAATGTGACCTCCTCCGAAAGGTAGCCATGCAAAATGAGGTTTGCCGTCAATAAAGTACCGTAGTCGCACACCCACCCAGTAATATCTCGTAGACCATACAGTTCTTGTAGCTATCACGGATCAATGGCTGCCTAATTGTGCTGAGTTTGATAGTTTTATAATTTTATCAGTTAAAAACGTACTGATATCTCGGAATAAACGGAAGATTTCAATTCAATAACAGCAGCAGCAACATTTCGTTCAAGTTTTGCCTATCTTTGTTGAAAAGAGAGTGGCACTGTACCTGCAATAATAGTATTGGCTGCTGTCACCGAAGAAACAGCAATTGCTGGTGTAGGAGCCGTTATTGGTGCAGCGATGAAGAATACAGGAATATCCGTGAGTCTCATTTGGTCATTTATGAAAGGGGGGTTATTAAAATGTCCTTTTAAATCATTTTGTGTAGTTCATAGGCGCGATTTTGCTCCACTAGATATTCCTTGTCACATTAAATTATCGGGAAGGTTTTTAACCAAAGAAACGTTTTCAGTCGTAAAACCTTTCATCATAATTCTTTGTTTTTGGACGATGAACAGATAATCTCCCGTTTTCTATGTAAAGATGGTGTAAAACTGGTTACGATATTATTCTAAGTGGCTGCGCTGGTTTGTCATAGCAAGCTTTTATAGGATGAATGTTCGAAGTAGAAAAACTGTAAACATGTGCAGAAACTCTCATCGTGATGGTAGAGATGAAATTGGACAGCATGCAAGAGTTATAGCAGTTGATTTTGTACGAGTATAAATATAGCGCTCTTTTGTTCTCTCTGATGTTAACCGGTATTTAGTGAATGTCAAGTGGGTAACCGGGGAAAACTCCAAGAAATTGTTCACACATGCCACTATAGGCCTGTAAAACGTTACTAATCTAAAACAACAGGTAATACGCTTTAATTCATGCTGTGATTTATACGTATACTAAATGATAATTTATTATGTTATAGTAAAACTGGCGTTTCTGAAGCGAAAAATGGGGGACTTCTTTGAATATGTGATTCGGTGGCGGATAAGACAGGTATTACTAAGGAACCAAAAGGGCCTTGTTTCTTGTTAGCTTCGTTTTTTGAATGGCGACGCCAATCGATGGCTCTTTTAGAATTACTCTCTTTAAATAACGGCTAATGTGTGGACAGCCGCCTGTTGCTGACTGGAGTAAGTACTGTAATGGTCGTTTCTCTATTTCGCTCAAGAAGAAAAAGATCTTCCATATTTTAAAATTCAATTGGCTCTATTATGGCGACCTTCAGTCAAGATTTGGCTTGACTCACTCTTTATTCATAACGAAGTATGTCTGAAAATCTGCGTAATGTCAATGCAATTATGTACTGCAATGGCGTTGTCTCTTATGCTCTCCAGAAAAATAATCTTTGTTTTCATTCTTTACAATTTCTCAATGGCGACATGGGGGCAGAAATTTCAGGAATCACGCTCTATACGTAACAGCGTGCACGTTGAAGGATGATTGTTCTTGACTACTGGAGTGTGTGCTACCATTGTGTTGTCTGTTTTTCGCTTAAGAAAAAAAAATTCGCTTCATTTCCGTAATGACGACATCAAGAAATGACTCTGCTGAAATCACTCCCTAAAAGAAACGGATTATGTCTGGTTGCCTGCTTGTCACGAGCTAAAGGTAGCACTGCACATCTGGTATCTCTTATGAGCTCAAGAAAAAAAAACTTCTTTTTTTTATTTGCTTTCTTAATGTTGACCCTAAATCAGGTCCCAATGGGAATCACGCCTCCTATGTCTGGATCTTGCTTTATTACTGATTGAAGTTTGTACTGCACTGTAGGAACTCTGTATAAAATAAAAAAAATAAATATCTGTTTTTATATTTATTTCGCTTTCTTAAAGTCGACATCAAGTCAAGCATGAGCGGTTATCACTCTTTATGAACAACCGCAAATGTGTCGAAGCTTGCTTCCTCCTGAATGGAGTGCGCTATGCAATTGCCGTGTCAAGAAGAACATATTCACTTTTTCTTGATTCATTCGGTTTTTTCTCTTGGCGATATTAAGTGTACGTTTTGATGGTATTATTCTTTAAGATATGCTTAATTAATGTCTCTAAATGATATTGGTTTTGTTCTGTTTATATTAAGTACGTGTCTGAAACTTTTTTCAAATTGGTGCCATGAAATTGGATCATCAAAAGCTGGCGCTATTGTTTGGGAAGTAAACAAGGTATATATTTCTAATGGCCGAAGGGGGAATGATTTATTTCATAATTTATAACCGTTTGCTTATGTCACATTTAAGAATTTAGTATGACTGCATTTTGCTTCAGAATTTCGTTTACGAAGATGAATACACTTCATTACTTCGTACCTATAGAAAGGACACAACCTCAAAAGCATTACGAAGAAAAAACAAGATGTAACAAGTAATTTAGTATATTGGTGGTAGGGTAATGTCCTGAAAAAAAAAATTTGTACTGGTATGCTTGGAACTAACTTGAAAAAATATAGAACAAGAAAAAGAAGAGGTAATGAATAATCCTCTGTTTGATCGAATTTTCTGCTCAGTTGTCGTATGTAATTTGTGTAGAATCTCGAATGTGTGTCATGCAGCTTGCTACAAGTATATAATAATACGGAACAACTTTTGGTTTCCAGCAGTTTTAAAGATAATACCCGAAACATGCCTGAAAATAGTGTATCCTGGTTTTGGAGGGTGTTCTACAGGAAACATTTGGTGGAGGAGATTCTAATAGCAGCCAGGAAAACGTAATGGTGATTGCTGTTGGTATTTAGCGGTTTGCTGATCCCATTATTTATATTATTAAGACTTTAGATAAGATGTTGTTTGTGATTTAAAGACGACGAATGTTATTATTGTGCATGGTCACGGTATATATATTTGGCTGTGATATTTGAGGAATTATTGTATTGTGATGACGTACGCTGCCGCTTCATACTTATCTGCGAATATTGGTTGATATTTACTTGATGCTATGGACTGCCCGGATGTGTCTATTGAAACAGTGAAGCCTTGTGGATCTTTATTCTTACAAGTTTACGAAGAAAAATAAAGCTACCGGCATACAGCAAAGGAAATATTACCTAAAGTTATCGTCATTATATTAGCTTTGTAAGAATCTACATCAAATAACATAAATCATGACTGCGATCCTTCAATTATATTGAGGCACCTATAGCAAGATCCTAAAAGGTAGATCTTCAATGCCAGTATATCAATGATAAAATTGCAAGTTTAATTGGACTTTAGAATTTCTACATGCTGGGTTATATCTAACACAAAAACACATTATTTATGCTGGTGAGACAGTTGCATATTCCGGCTTGGGTCCTTCAGGGTGTTTTTTATGCGAGTTGAAATTATGAGAATATGTCGTTTGAAGTTCTACGCTCATGTTTTCTGAAGGCGTGTATTGTTGAACACAAATTTAAACCCACAAATGTATAATATAAACGTCAGAGGATTAAACTGATATTCTTATGTGATATTGAAGTACATTAATTATCATTATCGCGGCAAAAACATAGAAAGTCGCGATAGGTATCCTTACTAAACAACAAGTATCTTTGAAGCAGCTATTAAGTTAAGTGTACATCGTCGATAGAGTTAGTATTGAAAATTGGGATAAGTTTTTTTAGAATAAATAACGCTATATATATTACATTTATTCTTATCAAAACCCTTAAAACATGAAAAAGTTCTTTTAAGGTGCTTATGGAAGCGGTCAAAAATAATAATTTCTGAACCAATACTACAATACGTTATGGCTTAAAATCATGGAATACTACCGAATAAACTTTCATGACGGAGTTCACAATTCCTATGTATCGACTATGTTTTAGGACCTTAATTGATCAATAGATGGTATATATGCGTATTGGACTCCATATCAATATATTATTTTTGACTATAGATGTAAGATGGTTTTCAACTATATACAAAAATACAGATTCATTGCGTGATTGGTTAATTATAGACTGCCAATATGTTCGTTCTTAATTAGTAGAATTTGTTTGCATTATGAGTTTTTTGATCAGTAAAATTCTGTAGTGGGGATCACCCTTCCACCCAAATTTCCCATCCCCATTCGAGGTAAAACAACCCGCACCAGCCGTAGCAGTTTAATCAATGACATTTTTATGACTGGATTTTCCCGCAGCCAGTGACTGCATTCTAGCTGTTTTAATAGGGTCGGACCTAATCCGTTTTTCTAAAAATAAGATGAGGTCCGACGGTAATAATACGGGATATGTGACAAAAAATCTGATTTCCGACGCTAATAAAACGTGATGTCTGAAAAAAATGGATGAGGTCCGACCCTAACCATAACGCTTGTCCAAGACAAAACATAGTTCCTACAGACACCCCGCCTTCTCTATCGTTCGATGGACGATGCTGAGCCAAAAATATTTTAAGTCAGCCTAGATTATATAAGGTATCAACTTTAAATTAGGGTAATTAAGAAGATTGTTATCCCTTGTAATGATTTTATTTTGACTCATATTGGCATAGTTGTAGAATAAAAAGTTATATGAAAAACTAACAAAGACTATGGCTACATCTAGATCTGGAATGACCTTTCTGTCGAAACACAACCGGGCACGACTTCGTTACATTACTCGCTCAGCTGATATAGTACATGAGCAAATTTAGCATTAATCAAATCACCATGAAACCACGCAATACAAAAAAGGTTTTTTTTTACTTTCTATTTTCTAGCTGTTTTTTGTCTCTTTTTTTGCACTATTTTTTCTCTATGTTTTACATTTTTTATGTATCATTTTAAAGTTCTTTTCTATCGTTTTCCATCTTTAAACTTTATTCATAGGACCCGTTTAGTAGTGTTGAAGGACGTGATTCTTTTTATTTCATTTCCGACATAGCACATAACCCTTCGTATAATCGGTTTAATTTTCATGGACCGCCTAAGTTTCAGTTGCATATAATCATGAAAAATGTCTCAGACCATTATTGAAACCCAACTAGCTTATTGCGCTTGCTGCATCTGTTCCCAGTTCTCTGGCTCCTTTCACACATGTCACTGTCAAACATCACTATTGTATCCTGTTTAACATCTCTGTTCCGAATAATGTATCTCCTTTATCCCTTGTTTTTGTAAAACCCATTTTACATCCGTTTCATTTTTACTTCAGCCTTCGATCTCCCTTGAAAGACATTAATAATATCGGCCGTGTTATCCTGTGTCTATACCTCCGAAATTATTTGTGTCGCATAATTTTGGTGTCATAGGTAGGAAACTGTGCGATGACATTAAGCGTAATCTTGGACAATAAATACAATTTTACGCTCGTCCGTGTGGGCAGCTCTATTAACAGTTAAATATTCAGAACTTGTCGTTTACTGTACTGATATGTATTCGGAGATCGCACACACGATTCAGGTGCTCTCAAGTGAACTGAAATAAACACCCACGTCTTGAGATAGCCTTCGACATTTTTCTCTTTTCGAAAAGTACTTTCTTGCTCGTTCTTTGTATATTGACACTTAAACTAACATGTACATCACTTACTCCACCAAAGTCTCTTAATATTATATATATGATCTCTTCAGTTTCTTTATAATTTCATAAACTTCAAGGATTATATATAACAGTTGAGATAAGGCTGTTGCCAAACACAAGTATACCAAATTCCTACCTCCGACACAAATAATACCAGCAAGGGCATCTGGAATACATTTTCCAAGGTAGAAACTCACAAAGAATAATGTCTTCAAGAAGAAAATAAATAATATTTTTCTAGTTATTACAGTAGCATGAATATTGCAGAATTTTCTTAATCCTATTGTAGACCCAAATGTTGAGATTGCTGCATTATCATGGAAAGGCAAAATAAAAAAACACCCTTGAACGTTTTATAAAGCTGTAATCGATGAAATTTTTAGTAATTGTTGGAATTGAGGGTTTTCTCAGCGAGGTTATTTGGGGATTGGTTCACTGTAAGATCAGGTCTGTAACTTCTTATCGTCCTCTAATTACCGATTTGGCTTATAATGCGCTTTATTTTACATACGCTGAGAACCACTAACTTCATTAGTATATACACGAAAAATATTTTTTTTCTTTTTGATACGTTACCAATAATCTCGATGGTGTTGACAAAAATATCATTCATGTACGCCGCGATTACTTGAGTGATCTGAAAGCAACTTTTGAAATAAGAGTTGGATTTCCATACAATACACAGTAAACTGGTCAGTATTTTGAACTGGTCAATATTATACTTCTGAAGTTGTTAGATTGTGCGGACGTAATTTTGAACGTCAGTAAAAAAAGAGTATTCAGAGCTGTCTGGTTAAAAATTAAGCTTTGGACTTGATTTCTTTGAACTTTTACAACTATAACGGTGGGGGTGTGCTGTCTTACTATTTTTTGTTTTGGTTTTGGTAAATGAAGTATGGACAATCTGTTTTTGATGTAACCTTCGTTCTAACTATTTTGAAAGGGTAATTCCGGTTGACCTGCCAGACGATATGATAATCTATAAATAGAAACCTGAAGTTGAAACAAGCAAGAATCGATATCACATCTCGTCATCGGTGTATTTTTAGGTGGCTCAGTATGTCATGTTCAAATACAAACTCTTTTGAGTGGGGTTTTTTTCCCTTAAATTAAAATCAAAGCTAATGCCTCTTCATTCCAAAGGTGACAATGTCCACATTACTGATGGCAACTTTTGTCTAAATTCATTCAATGTTAGGTGCTTGAGGAATGAGAAATAGCGAAGACAAAAAAAAAACAGGAAGGAATAGTCATGCGGCGTAAGTATTAAAATCTGGTTTTGCTTTTCCCCCGTAATTGACGTGACCTCTTTTCTCGGTAAACAAAAAAAAATTATTTAATAGAAACGCGGTGGTATTTTTTATTTCTTTACAGCTTTTCCAAAATGTTCTTAATTTTGTTCATTGATGAGTAAGTATAACGAATGGAGCAGACATGTGGTCATTAAGAAAAATTCTAACGAAGCATTTCAAACAGATTAATGTTTGCTGTTGAGATATTCGCTCTCTGCTTTCTTTTTTTTCCTTGGGTTTTAGGAAAAGCCATCGTGATTCTGTTGTGGGAAGTACTTCTGCGTTTCTTTTTTCTGGCAGTTTCTCTTGCACCTGCTGGGTATTTAGGACCATTTGGGGGGTATGAAGACGAGTCTGGACCACCAGCTCAACCCGTCATCATCAAGACCGTCTTTGTTGCGTTGCCTTCTCCTGCGTCTTTTTCGGCAGTTGATGTCAATCCTTTCCCTCGTTCTTCTCCTGTTCCTCCTCCTGCTCGTCGTCCCACGACGATTCTTGAGACGCTTCGTTGTTCTTTTCCTGGTTGTTCGTGCTTTCTTGGTGCGCCATGTTTTAGTTTGGCTAAAGACCCAATTATTCTTTGTCCTTCTTCCGCTTCGCCTGTCCTTTTTGGCTGTGAGGCCATAACGAAAGCTTGGCTTCTTGCCAATTCTCCCTTGCCTTCTTCTTCGTCTGGTGCTGCTGGTTCTTTGGTGTTTGGCTCTCCTGCTGTCCCCTTTTTGGAGGAAATGGATGTTTGCTTGCCTTCCCCTTTGGTGTCTGTGGCACCTTGTGTGTCAATTCCTGGCTCTGGCTCGGCTGTTTCTTCTGCTGCTGAGGTGTCTTCTTCTCTTTCTCCCGCTCGTGTGATTGCGGCGCCTAAAGGCGTTCGTTCTCACCGAGTTAGGGAGGATGCTGACCTGAAGACCCTCTCAGCCACCCCCATGCAAAAAGGTATATCGCACGCAAAAAAAATGTTAGCAAAAATATGACTAAATTTTATGGTAAAATCATTTTTTAATTTAATAGGGGATAAGGGATTAAAACGTCTTTCTGGTTTTGGTGACAGACAAGATGGAAAATAAACTTTGGTTTTCTTTCTTTAAAATTTCCACATTTACATTGTTTTGCAAAGAAAATGATATAATTAGCAATAATTTTTGTTGGGGACGTAGAGTTGTAATGAAGGGCGAAATTATTGTTCATCTTAGAGTCACAGTATTTTTAAAAAATAGAAAAACGATGTATTACCTCAAAATGCTAGCCACAAAAAAAAACAGAACGCATGTGATTTTCACTCGTACATGCTGTTACAATTCACTTTGAAGGTTAAAACGTTATTTTTTGTTATGCCATTGAGCAATGTATGTTTATGTAGAAAACAATTCGAGTTTCATAACGCATACCATGACTTGCTTTAAAAAGCTAGGGTACACGGTAAAAAAAAAATTAAATTCGTATTTTAGAAAGCCCAAGTGAGAGTCCAAAAGTCTCAAAATTTTAGTGTGGTTTGAATGACAATCGTACAGTCTTACTAATAGAGCAGAAAGATAATCACTGATTTAGTTGTTCCTTGTAAACAGTTTTAGCCTTTATTTCTCAAATGCGAGATTAGTTTTACTTTAATTTTTTTATTTATTGTATATCAACATATATTCAAATACTTAAAGATATGAAAGATATATTTATTGGGTAATGATGGTTTATCATATGATGTTGAATGCAGTATTTATAATTTCAGTTAATTCGCACTCGTGGTCTTAAGAATAAATTATCCCCGAGCATTTTATGTAATTTTATGCAATAAAACAGAGTGACATACAAAATATTTGTATCTCTTATCAAAAGTTATTAGGTATTAGAAGCTGGCTCAGCTGTAAACATCATCAGCTTATAGCCATGTCATTTCCTTTATTCCCCATAGAGAGTGATGTCTTCTCAATAGTAACTACAAATCCCACCGCATTATTTTCTTTATTTCATACTAATCTGATGATATTCAAGAATCACGGAGATTATCTCTAATGAAAAGGTTCAAAATTAGCACTCAAACTGTACTGCCAGTCAAATGCTTTACATTTAAGAGTTTCAATAAAGACAAACCTGTTGTAATATGGCAAAAATAGATAACATCGGGTGTTACTGTGACACTTTTAAACCATGGGCCGCCTTAGAGACAAACGTCATTTGAATTTCCAACGTTTTTATGAAGCTGTTAAAATGACTGTTACAACTAGTTACAGTATTGGGTGTAATGTACATGTTTCCAGCAAAATGCACAGGTGAAGATCTTTAGGTTTGTTGGACTTGGTTTCTACGAGTACGTGTGTACTTGATTATAAACATGGGCAAGGCAATTTATAAGGATGGGTTAAAAGTCATCAAGGAACAAAAAAAATGTTATGGAGTGTTGTATCGGGATCTGATTTACCTGTTGACTTAATAAAACTTTATACTCGCAGACTTTCTTGACTATAATACAAAAATCCACGCACGTTAGGATAATGTACTATTTCGTAAAATTAGGGATGTAAAAGGACTACTCTTTTATTGAATTACGAAAAACCACGACTTTATAATATCACCGCGTAGTACATAGTACTACTCAGGCTACCACAAGATATAATCCCTTCGTATCATTTCATAAGCTTTACATCAAAACACGGTCACAGAGGGCTATTGAGGCGCTATAGTGGTTCGTACTCTGAAATATCGCCTTACCACAGGAGGTATTATCCGGAGTTCCAAAAAATCGATTTATTTGAAAAAAAAAACCCGAGAGCAAGTCCTGACGACAGTAAGCAATTAGTTGCGTTTAGTATATTGATCTTAAAAAACTTCAAAAGTAAGCGAGGTTTGTTGTTGCTCATACGCTATGGTTTATGTTGAATAAAGGCTGATAGTTTCTGAAGGATCAATTATGTTTGTGTGACCTTGGTTTTTAAAAGGATCTTTTTTTTTTTTTTTTTTTTTTTTTTTTTTTTAGTTCTTCTTTGTCTAAAGTAAATAATATTGCCTTTTTCTTTGGTTAATTGTGTCGAACGAGAAAACTAAAAACAAACTCACGCTTATACAAGTCATGTACATTTCTTGTAACCTTCGATCTCCTCATTCGAATTAGTAAGATCTTTAACCAATCTTTTTTAAAATCTGCCGTCTGATTCTGTTGAAAAGACTATTATTTTTAATGGTATTTAATTCTAATTCAATTAACTGTAAGTAAGTTTTTACCGCTTTTTGACCTGCCTGAATTCTGCTTGCTTCTTCCCATGAAGCCTCAAATAGATATAATATTATAACTTTTTTTTTGTTATATTTTACTTATTCGTTAATCTTAACTGTTTAGGAAACACTATAAAATCCGTAAACTTCGACAGAATGATTCAATAATAGTAACCCAAACCAATCGTACCGGAATCCTAAAGAATAATTATTTTCGGCGATGTATCTTAGGTGGGACTATGAGGATCATATTCCCACATGGACCGAATTACAGATCTCAAAGCTAACCAATATGTTAGTAACACTTCGCGTAGGTTTGTATTTAAGAGTGGATGTATCGATACAAATTAGGACGACGAGTAAAATTGATGATGGTTGGACAACAGCCGGTGTTTTCAGACAGCAATTCCCTCAATGAATGAAACGATCATGGATTCACGTAAAGTGCTTGAAAGGGAAGTAATGTAAGGGTCAGGACGACAATATCAGTCCGTGGACACTTAAAATTAATGGATGAATAGTTAAAATCAGTGGATGTATGCTTAAAAGCAATGTATGGATACCCAAGATCAATGCATGCATTCTTCAAATTAATGGGTACACGTTATTTATTGTGACACAAACGGTTGCATGATGATACTAACGAGCTATCTCAATTTTCTTAGATACAGGGTTTGTGCATATTCTCTTGAAGCCATTTTTTTCTCTTTTTTGGTTTTAAATAAATCATTTTTTCAAAGAAATCTGTTCCATACGCTTAATTTAAACTTCCTTTTAAGACGAATAGTATAAATGGAGGGGATTATTACGACGTAATTATCAGTTTTAAGGACCAATTATAAAGATTTATTTGAATTAATAAACATATGGAATCAAATTATTCGACATATGTATAAACGTCATATAGTTCAGGTAATGGGTAAAAAACTATATGGAATAAAATAGGACACATTCAATACCAGACAAAACCTTATAGGTCTGCTCCCTGAAAAAAAGAAACCTAATTTGCCACATGGTTTAAACCACAAGATTCGTGTTACGATTATATCCTACATAGTCACATTATTTAAAAAAAAAGCGTGTACTCTCCGGATGGTACAACCTATCTCAGTCTATATAATGAATAATGTCGGTATACTGTGGAATATTCCGGGATTCCAGCGTTCATTTCTTGTTTAGATGACTAACTACTAGAATTCCATATAATTATCTAATTGCATACCTCTTCTGTCAGTTATTCAAACCACATGAGTATTTATCCACTTAGGGTAAATGGTGTATTAATTTTGAGTAAAAGATAAACTAAGGCAAAAATATATACATCTTTACCCTTTCCAATAATCTGCGGCAGTCAAGCCTCACGGTAAGCGTATGGACGTAATGATTGAATTAATAAGAACGAGGACCCTAAAACCTAAAAATCATCTGACCTTTCTCATTTCGCTTAACAGGATAAGCATTTATATATGACAATTAAATCAGACATTTGAGTTACAAAACAAGTAAACCGAGCATCCAACACTAACATCGGCTCTGCCATTAACCAATGTGGCTATTTATCCGTCTGTGGATTGTTAAGAGCTCATTCACGAAAATAAGCTGGCGTGGTTTAAAATTTTGAACGAGGCCTTTATTAATTAGCAAAGGCTAGAAAATTTTCTTGCTTTTTTTTCCAAGTCCTCATCCTAGCTTAAACACATTGAAATAATAAAACAAGAAATAGAATCTTGGTATGTCACCTTCTTTACATTAGACGAATGTTTCACCATTTTCAGCAATCTCATAATTGTGACAATGACTGCAATGTTACTAATAACTTTTTTTCTCATTTTTAATTGCGTAGGGTACAAACGCTGAAACAAGAGCTACACGAAGCGCAGAAACGTCTTATTTTATCGAATGCGTATTGAAACATAAATACAGTCTACCCATGTAACAGTTAGTCTTATGTGAAATCTTATCACATCATATTATAACACTGTTAGTTTGGCTTTGAGAAGAAAGACAAAACATACATTGTCGTTTGGTGATTCAAGTCAAACAAAACGCGGCCATTATCATCTTTATCAATGTACTTTGATTGCCCTTTTTTAAGAAACCTAGAGTATAGGTGGGAATTTTGACCAAGAATGCTACCGCTGTGGAAATATTTCACATTTATATAAATTGGACCAATTGGCTCCGGTAAAGTATAAAATTGTTTTTACTATTATTTTAAGAATCTGAAAAAGGATTAGTTACTCAAGAAATCTTTAGAAAAAAGAAAATTATCGCCATCACTGCTACTTAACATAGGCTTGATAATAAGTCTCTAATAGGTGACCAAAATCTACATTCCAGCAGGATGATCCACGAAGTCAGCTAAATGTAAATCGTGTTTGTATTTCACATCAGGTAAAAGAGCCGTTCATTCCATGTTACTGTTGGTATTTCTACCCCCAGTGACTTTCGATCTTTTTTTTATGTAAATTTCTGTTAGAGTATGTAGTGGTACAATACAAAATCCTTAAATTGGATAACTAAACTAACTCGTTTCAAAAATTTGACAGAAACACAAGGAAGAACAGAACAGTGGTTTGATTGGCCCATGTTGAAAGTGTAATTACAGAGAGATATGGGTTTCTGATTACCAACTTGTCAGGTTTTCTTTTGTGAGGCGTGAGTAATGTGCCAAAAATTAGGAATAATTACGTTACTGACCTTTTGATCTCCAACTAGTGTCTATTGGCTGATACTGCAGCAGGAAATCTTACAATATCACAATACGTCTTGTACTTTTCTTCATCCGCCAAGTGTTCATCGTGATTTCTCACTTTATTTTGACAAATGGCTTTTTGCAACAGAAAAAGAAGTGATTTTATGCAGGACAGAAGCAACATTATCATACAGTGTGATCTCCTCCGAAAGGTAGCCATGCAAAAGTAGGTTTGCGTTCGATAAATTACGGTCATCTTACACCCATCGAGCAATATCTGGTAGACCATGCAGTTCTTGTAGCTATCACGGATCAATGGCTGCAAAATTTGGCTACGGTACATAGTTTTAAAATTGTATTGGTTAAAACCTACTGGTATCTCGGAATCAACTGAGGATTTCAATTCAAGTTCTGCCCATCTTTGTTGTAAAGATAGTGTCGCTTTACCTGCAATAGTATTATTGAATGCGGGCACCGACGAAATAGCAATTGCTGGTGTAGGAGCGGTTTTCGGTGTAGCGGTGAAAAATGCAGGAATATCCGTGAGTCTCATTTGTTAATTTACGAAAGGGGTGCGTTATTAAAATGTCCTTCTAACTCATTTTCTGTAGTTCATAGGCGCGATTTTGCTCGACTAGATATTCCTTATCACATTAAATTATCGGGAATGTTTTAACCAAAGAAACGTTTTCAGTCGTAAAACGTTTCATCATAATTCTTTGTTTTTGGACGGTGAAAAGATAATCGCCTGTTTTCTTTATAAAGATGGGCTAAGACTGGTTACGAAATCATATTTTGTGGCTGTGCTGGTTTGACATACAAAGGTTTTATATTATGAATGTTGGAAGTAGGAAAACTTTAAACATGTTCAGAAACTCTCATCGTGATGGTAAAAATGAAATTGGACAGCATGCAAGAGTTACAGCAGTTAATTTTGTAAGTGTATAAATATAGCGCTCTTTTTCTCTCTCTTTTATGTTAACCGGTATTTAGTGAATTTAAAGTGTGTAGCCGGGGAAAACTTGAACAGATTGTTCCCACATGCCACTATAGGCCTGTAAGGCGTTACTAATCTAAAACGACAGGTAATAGGCTTTAATTCATGCCGTGGATTATACGTAAACTAAATCAAACTCTTTTATGTTATAGTAAAACTACCGCTTCTGAAGGAAAGAATTGGAGGCTTCTTTTAGTATGTGATTCGGTGGCTAATAGGACAGGTACTACTGAGGAAGCAAAAGGGCCTGGTTTTTCATTAGCTGCGCTTTTTGAATGGCGACGTCAAACGATGGCTCTTTTGAATTACTCTCTATAAATAACGGCTAATAACTAGACAGCCGCCTGTTACTGACTAGAGTTAGTACTGTACTGGCCGTTTCTCTATTTCGCTCAAGAAGAAAAAGATGATCCATATTTTAAAATTTAATTGGCTCTATTATGGTGACATTTAGTCCATATTTGGCTTGACTCACTCTTTATTCATAACGACTTATGTCTGAAAATCTACGTACTGTCAATGGAATTATGCACTGCAATGGGGTTGTCTCTTATGCTCTCAAGAAAAATAATCTTTATTTTCATTCTTTACACTTTCTCAATGGCGACATGGGATAAAGGAATTTCAGGAATCACTCTCTATACATAACAGCGTGCACGTGGAAGGATGTCTGTTCTTGACTACTGGCATATGTGATACCATTGCGGTGTCTGTTGCTCGCTTAAGAAAGAATTATTTTCGATTCTATTCCGTAATGACGACATCAGGAAATGACTCTGCTGAAATCACTCCCTAAAAGAAACGGGTTATGTCTGGTGGCCCGCTTGTCACGAGCTAAAGGTTGCACTGCACAGCTGGTATCTCTTATGAGCTCAAGAAAAAAAAAACTTCTTTTTTTTATTTGCTTTCTTAATGTTAACCCCAAATCAGGTCCCAATGGAAATCACGCCTCATATGTCTGGAATTTGCTTTATTACTGATTGAAGTTTGTACTGCATTGTATGAACTCTGTATAAATTCAAAAAAATAAATATCTGTTTTTATATTTATTTCGCTTTCTTAAAGTCCACATCAAGCCAAGCATGAGCGGTTATCACTCTTTATGAATAACCGCAAATGTGTCGATGCTTGCTTCCTCCTGAATGGAGTGTGCTCTGCAATTGCCGTGTCAAGAAGAACGTATTCACTTTTTCTTGATTCATTCCATTTTTTCTCTTGGCGATATTAAGTTTACGTTTTGCTGGTATTATTCAAAAATGTGCTTAATTAATGTCTCTAAATGATATTGGTTTTTTTCTGTTTATATTAATTAGGTGTCTGAAACATTTTTCAAATTGGTGCGATGAAATTGGATCATCAAATACTGGCGCTGTCGTTTGGGAAGTAAACAACGTATATATTTCTAATGGCCGAAGGGGCAATGATTCGTTTCATAATTCATAACCGTTTGGTTATGTCACATTTAAGAATTTAGTATGACTGCATTTTGCTTCAGAAGTTCGTTTACGAAGATGAATATACTTCATTACTTCGTACCTATAGAAAGCACACACCGTCAAAAGCATTACGAAGAAAAAACAAGATGTAACAACTAAATTAGTATATTGATTCCGTGTATTTTTTTTATTTGAGGACAGACGGTGGTAGGGTAATGTCCTGAAAAAAAAGTTTGTACTGGTATGCTTGGAACTAACTTGAAAAAATTATAGAACAAGAAAAAGAAGAGGTAATGATTAATCCTCTGTTCGATCGAATTTCCTGCTCATGTGTCGTATTTAAATTGTGTAGAATCTCGAATGTGTGTCATGCAGCCTGCGACAAGTATATAATAATACGTAACAACTTTTGTTTTCCCGCAGTGTTAAAGATAATAGCCGAAACATGCCTGAAAATAGTGGATCCTGGTTTTTGAGAGTGTTCTACAAGAAAAATTTGGTGGAGGAGATTCTAGTAACATACAGAAAAAAGTAATGGTGATTGCTGTTAGTATTTAGCGGTTTGCTGATCCCATTAGTTATTTTATTAAGACTTTATATAAGATGTTGTTTGTGATTAAATGACGACGAATGTTATTATTGTGCATGTTCTCGGTATATATATTTGGCTGTGATGTTTGAGGAATTATTGTATTTTGATGATGTACGCTGCCGCCTTATACTTATCTGCAAAAATTGGTTGATATTTACTTGATTGTATGGACTGCCCGGATGTGGCTATTGAAACAGTGAAGCCTTGTGGATCTTTATTCTTACAAGTTTACGAAGAAAAATAAAGCTACCGGCATACAGCAAAGGAAATACTCCCTAAAGTTATCGTCATTATATTGGCTTTGTAAGAATCTACATCAAATAACATAAATCTTGAATGCGATCTTTCAATTATATTGAGGCACCTATAGCAAGATCTCAAAAGGTAGATCACCAATGCCAGTATATCACTGATAAAATTGCAATTTTAATTAGACTTTAGAATTTCTACATGCTGGGTTATATCTAACACAAAAACACATTAATTATGCTGGTAAGACAGTTGCGTATTCCTGCTTGGGTCCTTCAGGGTGTTTTTTATGCGAGTTGCAATCATTAAAATATGTGGTTTGAAGTTCTACGCTCATGTTTTCAGAGGGCGTGTGATGTTTAACACAAATTTAAACCCACAAATGGGTAATATAAACGTTAGAAGATTAAACTGATATTCTTAAGTGATATTGAAGTAAATTAATTATCATTATCGCGGCCAAAACATAAAAAGTCGCGATAAGTATCCTTACTAAACAACAAGGATCTTTGAAGCAGATATAAAGTTAAGTGTACATCGTCGATAGAGTTAGTATTGAAAATTAGGATAAGTGTTTTTTGAATAAAAAACGCTATATATATTACATTTATTCTTATCAAAACCCTTAAAACATGAAAAAGTACTTTTAATGTGCTAATCGAACCGGTCAAAAATAATAATTTCTGAACCAATAATACAAAACATTATGGTTTAAAATCATGGAATACTAGCGAATAAACTTTCATGACGGAGTTCACAATTCCTATGTATCGACTATGTTTTAGGATCTTAATTGATCCATAGATGGTAGATATGCGTATTGGACTCCATATTCATATATTATTTTTGACTATAGATGTAAAATGGTTTTCAACTATATACAAGAATACAGATTCATTGCGTGATTGGTTAATTATAGACTGCCAATATGTTCATTCTTAATTAGTAGAATTTGTTTGCATTATGGGTTTTTTGATCAGTATAATTCGGTAGTGGAAGTCCCCCTTCCATCCAAATTTCCTGTCCCCATTCGAGGTAAAACAACCCGCACCAGCCGTAGCAGTTTAATCAATGACATTTTTATGACTGGATTTTCCCGCAGCCAGTGACTGCATTTTAGCTGTTTTAATAGGGTCGGACCTCATCCGTTTTTCTAAAAATAAGATGAGGTCCGACGGTAATAATACGGGATATGTGACAAAAAATCTGATTTCCGACGCTAATAAAACGTGATATGGGAAAAAAATGGATGAGATCCGACCCTAACCATAACGCTTGTCCAAGACAAAACATAGTTCCTACGGACAGCCCCGCCTTCTCTATCGTTATATGGACAATGCTGAGCCAGAAATATTTTAAGACAGCCTAGATTTTATAAGGTACTAACTTTAAATCGGGATATTTACGCAAATGCTTATCCGTTGCAATGACTTTTTTCTTCAACACATACTGGCATTGTTGTATAATTAAAGGTTTTACTGAAAATCTATCAAAGAATATGGCTAAATCTACATCTGTAATGAACGTTTTGTGAAAACACAACAGCGTACGACTTGGTTGCCGAACACGCTCAGCTGATATTATACACATGCAAATGTAAAATTAATCAAATGACCATAAAACCAAGCAATAGAAAAAGGTATCTTTTTTTCCTTTCTATTTTCTTGCTTTTTTTATTTCTTTTTTTTGGACTTTTTTTTTCTCTTTTCTTTGCACTTTTTCTTTCTCTTTTTTTTTCATTTTTCATTTTTCATTTTTGTTCTAAATTTCTTTTTTCTTTCGTTTTCTATCTTTAAATTTAATTGATATGACCCGTTTAGTAGTGTTGAAGAACGTAATTCTTTTTATTTCATTTCCGATGTTGCACATAACCTCTCGTATGATACGTTTTATCGTCATGATCCGCCTAAGTTTCATTTGTATATAATCATGCATAATGTCTCCGACCATTATTGAAACCCACCTAGCCTATTGGGCTTACTGCACCTGTTCCCAGTTCTCCGGCACCTTTCAGACATGTCACTGTCAAACATCACTATTGTATTCTGTCTAACGTCTCTGCTCCAATTAATGTATATCGTTAATCCCATGTCTTTGTAAAACCCATTTTACGTCCGTTTCATTTTTACCTCAGCCTTGGAACTCCCTTGTAAGACATTAATAATATCTGCCATGTTATCCTCTGTGTATACCTTCGAAATTCTATGTGTCTCTGCTCACTACCACAAATATGTCTCAAAAACACATGACTAATAATCTGTCTCTGTAAATCTGATCCCGAACCCTTGTTTACTCGCTCTGTCAATTAATAACAATAACCGCTTGTTTGTTTATACTTATTTCTCTATTCAAAATCTTATCTATTTTTGCTGTCCTTCGTGAATAAACCTTTTGTTACTTTTATTCCTTTTACATTCATATTAGTAATAATACGTATATAATTTCTGTCTACCTGTTTTCACCTAAATAATCATTCTGTTCTGCCTGTGCACCGCGCCACTCCTGACATCCCTTCAGGAAGAAGCAAGCTTCCACACAGGTGCATTTATCTAGAGACGGATTCCAGCAAAGTCTTGGCTTGATGTCGCCATTAAGAAAGTGTAATGAATAAAAACAAGCTCTTTATTCTTGAGTGCATATGTAACGCTTCGAAGGCAGTACAAACTTCAATTATTAATAAAAAAGCTTGCAAACATATAAGGCCTTTCGTAAAGAGTGATTCCTAACGAGGCATGACTTGACGTTGCCATCAATAAACTAAAGCGAATAAATAAAGTTCTTTTTTTGTTTAGCACATAAGAGATAAACGCTGAGCCATACATATTACATTTCGCAACACACAGGCTACTAGACATAAAGCGTAATTAATAGAGAGTGGATCCATCTGAGCCTTGACCAGATGTCGTCATTTAGAAATTGAAGCGAAGAAAAAGATCGTTTTTTTCCAAAGCGCCCACCAAAGACCGCAATGATATCACACACTTCAGTCAGGGAAAAGCAAGCTTTCACTGCCACGCCATTATTCATAGAGAGACATTCCTACAGATTCTTCACTTGATGTCGCCAAGAATGAAGTGAAATGAATACAAAAAAAAAAGAATTTTTTTCTTGAGCGAATAAGAGACGCCACTAGCACTGTAATTATTCCAGTCAGCAAAAAGCGGTTTCCCAGACTGTAGACTTTATTTACAAGCAGTGAATTCAATAGAGCCATGAGCGAATGTTGCCATTAAAAAACCGAACATTATAAAAAAGAAGGCCATTTCGTTTCCTTTAAATTGGCCATCGAATTACATATTAAGAAGCATCCTAAATTTTTTTTTAGAAACGGCAGCTTTGCTATTACATACCAATTATGCTTTTACATAAATATAATATACGTCAAGGTTTAAAGGATATTGCCGGTAATTTTGGATAAATAACGTGTTGCATAACTATGGTGGTAGGTATGAAAACATTTTATGGAGTCTCTTCTGGGTTACGCATATGTCATCCAAAAATTAATAGCTACGATAAGACGCAACGAAAGAGAGCTAAATTTTATGAAAACAAATTAAGTGCTGAAACCATTGCATGCTGTCTAATTTGTTTCTTACCATCCTCATGTCAGCTTCTGCATGTGTTTAGAAATATCGTACACCGAACATTTAAAATATACGGCTTTTTAAGTCCAATGGGGCACAACTTTAAAAATTACTAACTTATCATTTTTAGATCGTGTTTATAAAGAAAAACTGGAGAGTACTTCTTCACTCTCGAAAAAAAAAAGAATTATCATGAAACGTCTTCTAGCTGGAAATGTTTTTTGGTTAAAAACCTTGCCGATATGTTAATTCTGACAGCAATCTTTACCCTGTCTTTCAACGACACAAACGAATTACATGATCATTTCAATAGCCTACCCCTTTGATTTATTCCCAAATAAGACGCACTGTTATTCCTGAAAATCCCAACGCTGCACCAAAATCTGCTCCTACACCAGCAGTTGCTATTTCGTTTGATCCAGAACTCAGTAACACTACTGTAGGTAGAGAGACACTCTCTAATTGTTAAAATTCGAAACACATGAAAGAAATGCTGCTGCTGCTAGTACTGGTTTTACCGCTGCTGCTGAACTGAGAACGTCAGTCGATTCCGAGTTGTCTGTAAATTTTTAACCCAATCATTTAAAAATCTATCAAGTATCACAGCCTTTCATTGGTATTTATTGGTAAAAACAGTAAGGCGTAAATAGCGTTCGAGTTTTTTCTGGGTGGATGTTCGATTATAGCTATGTATCTACCGCCAATATCCTTTTGCATAATTACCTTTAGGAGGAGGATACACAATATGATAATATTGCTGTTAAGATGCACAACGATACTCGTTTTCCCGTCGCCAAAAACGCGGTTTATTCCTAAATTAGTGGGCCATCACTATCATTACTCAGGGGATGTAGAGAAGATATCTTGTGATATGGAGATACTTTTTGGTGCTTTAGCAGCAAATAAATACTAGTTTCGCCTGCAAAAATTCAGTAGTGTCATTACGCATAATTGTTGTTAATTTATGTACCCCTTACTAAATAAACACTTTACAAGTTGATATGGGAAAAGCCTATATCCTACTGTATTTAGACATTAAGCAAGCGCCGACTTAACCATATCACATTTCCTTTAAAAAAATGTTTTGTTCTTCGTTGTGTCATATTTAAATATTCGGAAAAAGAAATTAGACATTCATATTATTTCACGATTTTTGATTGAATCTCTACATACACATACATAAGCTTCCAACAAAAAATGAGATCGAAAATCCCTGGTGGTAAAAATACCAACAGTATTATGGAACGAACGGTTCTTCATCTTTTCATGTGAAATACAAATGTACTTTCATCCGACTTCATGCATCATCCTACTAAATAATATGGATTTCGGTCACCTATTAGAGCCTTTTTATCAAAACTTTCTATTAAGGTTCAGTGCTATTGAGGACTGCCATATATCTGAAGATCTCATGACTATCAGTCCTTTCGGAAAATACAAAAAAACAATGTGATGCTTTATCGGAGTCTATTCATCGAATAAATTTAAATGTGGAATATATTCCAAAGCACGGGACAAGCTTTGACATAATACACGCGTATATTCCACTAGCGTCTTTGAATAAAGCCTATTAAATTCCATTGCTAATGGTGGTAATCAGCACGTTCTGTTGCTCTGGAATTGACAAAGACATAATAATTTGTAGCTGTATCGTCAAACCCAAACTAGCTATGTTATAATAAGATGGGGTCATATATTACATATGACTAACTGGTCCATGGGTAGAATGTATTTATTTTTTGAATACGTACTTCATAAAAAACAGGCTTTTAACCAGCACTGGAAGTCATAAAGAAACATCCGGCTGCTTTGTGAAGCACTTGTATTCCAACTATTGTACCCTACGCAAGTAACGAAGAAAACAAAGTTGTTACTAACATTGCCGACATTGTCATAATTGTAGCATTGTTGAAAATGATGAAACACTTAGCGAAAGTAACGAAGCTGACATACCCAGGTTCTATTTCTTGTTTAATTATATCATCCTGTATAAGTTAAAATGAGGCGTAGAGAAAAAACCAAGAAACAATTCTAACTTTTTCTAATTAATAAATGCCAGTTACAAAATGTGAAATCCCGCCATCTCTTGTTTCTTGATGATCTCTTCAGCTTGTACAGACGAATATATACCGACATCGGTTAGGGAAATAGCCGAGGTTCATGTTGGAGGCTCGGTATAGTTGTGTTGTTAACAAAATGAGTAATTCAGAAGTCATAGAAAAATGCTTATCCTGCTAAGATAATTTTGATGTATGAGGCAAATTTTTAGATTTTAGGATACTGCGGTTATAATATTCTAGTAAGTAATTTAACACTCATACGCAGTTGCTTACCCACTACAGGTAGCTGGAATGGAGGAGATATACGTAAGGGTTCGGATATCAATTTCTACTTACACAATGTGGGGAAGTACTCCACCACAAATTGATCCTCATCTTCTTCAGGTAGATGAAACTGATGAGGGAATTATAGGTTTTATATCCGAACTTTTATTTACTCCATTGGGTAAGCCTTTCTCCACAGACAGATTTTCTATTGTTGTACCAGCTCAAAATAATAGGCAGCAAGAAAGCAAAAGGCATGGGTTTTCTACTCATACACTCTGTTACTTTTCACTTTTAAGGTTAGATATTTTTTTCTATGTTACATCATAGCGTAATGTATGTTTATAAAGGAAGAAAGCCGAGTATTATAACACATACAAAGACTTACTTTGAGAAATGAAGGGTACACGCCAAAAAAAATTAGATTTGTATTTTTGAAATGCCGAAGTGAGAATCAAAAAGTCTCATAATTTTAACGTGGTTTGAATGACAATCGTACAGTTGAACAATAAGACGGAATCTAATCACTTATTTAGTTGTTCTTTGAGAACCTTGTTAGCCATTATTTGTCAAATGCGAGCTTGGTTTGACTTTATTTTCTTCTATCAATTTTACATTAACATATATTCAAATACGTAAAGTTATTTAACGTACATTTACTGGGTAATGATGTTTCATCATATGATGATGATATCATCACTGCAGTAAATACATGGCACCGGGTCTATGTTGAAAGCAGTATTTATATTTTCAGTTAATGCATACTCATTGTCTGAAGAGTAAATTATCCCCGAGCAGTTCAGTTTAATTGAAGGCAATAAAACTGAATTGAAATACAAAATACTGGTATGTTTTATCAGAAGTTATTAGGTATTACACGAAACCTCACCTGTTAACATCCTCAGGTTCCAGCCATGTTATTTCGTTTTCTTCACCATAAAATCAGACGTCTTCTCTATAGTAGCTACAACCCCCATAGCATTATTGTCTTTATTTTATACGGAACTCCTGCAATTTATGAGCCACAGAGATTATCTTTGATGCGAAGCTTCAAAATTAGCTCTAAACCTTTACTGCCAGTCAAATGCTGGGCATTTAAAAGTTTAGATACAGATAAATTTGTCTAGTCATGGTGAGAGTAAACAACATTCGGTGTTACTGCGCCACTTTTAAACCATGAGCTACATTAGAGATAAAAGGCATTTGATTATTCAATGTTTTTTATGACGGTGTTAAAATGACTGTTACAATTAGTTACATCATTGGGCGTAACGTACACGCTTCTCCAAAGATATTGCAGAGGTGAATAACGTTTGGTTTATTGGAGTAGCTGTTTTCTAGCCCCTGTGTTACAGATTATAACCATGGGCAAAGTAATTTATAAGGATGGGCTTGAATTCATTAAGGAAAGCAAAAAAAAGAAAAAAAGGAAATAAAACCAGGGTGTGTGGGTTTCTGCAATAAATAAGATAGGTTATCTGACCATATTTTTGAATTGATTGATCTTTATCAAAATGTAATTGCTTCAACTTAAAGATATCGAGATGTCTCAATACAATCCCATTCTTAAGGTGTTACTTTGGTAAAGACACCTTCAGAATCCATGATTCTACATCCTTTTAATGATTGATGGATAACACTCTTTGTTTGAGTAATAATTTGATTTTGATTTGGATAAAGCCGATGAGAGGATATGCTAATCGGATAATTAATATTGTTTTTCTATACTCTGCAAACACTTTGCATTTATAAACAAATCACAACCTAATGATACTACTTTCGTCCAGATAGCTCTCAATTCAATGACTTTGCATGCGTATTTAAGTGGGGCATTTATCTGAGTTCCAAAAAAATCGATTTATCTAAAACAAAAAAATTGCACAAGTCCTTGGGACAGTAAAGTATTATAGCTTTGGGTATATTGGTCCTAAAGATTTCAGTAGGAAAGAATCAGTATGGTTACCCATAATCTATATTTTATGTAAAATACAGGCTCATTGTTTCCAGGGGATCCGTTTTGTTGTTGTAACCTTGCATTTTTAAAGACTCAATCTTTGTTTTTTTTTGTTTATTCTTCGACATTTCCCTTTTTTTTTTTTTTTTTTTTTTTTTTTTTTTTTTTTTTTGTCTACTGTACAAAGCATTACCAATTTTTTGGTTCAATGTGTGGAATTTGATAGCTACAAACATACTCACGCCTATAGATGCCATGTAAGTTTTTTATGACGTTTGATCTCATCATTCGAACAAGTTACATTCCTTACCATTTTTAAAAGCCACCGTCTAATTCTCATGCACAAAGTTTTGGTAAGACTCCTATATTCGTATGTCTTCTAAATTTAATTAAATTAATATTAATCCAAGTTACTGCTCTCACTTTTGGTCTTCTTCTTTGCCATGGCTCACAGAATAGCCTACATTTCACATGACTCAGTCTTCACTTTACATTACCCCCATTACCTTGTAGGCAAAGACGTTTTAGCTGCTTCTTGACCCTCCTGAATTTTTTCTTCTTCGGATGTAATATTAACTACGTATAATATTGTAAATTACTTTTTCGTTTTCTCTTATTATTCGTTAACCTTAACCGTTTAGGAAACACTACACGATATGTACGTTTGGATATAATGATTCAATAATTGACGCACAAACCATTTGTACTCTAACCCTGAAAATTATTAGTCGTTAATGTATCTTTGGCAGCACTAGGAGAATCATATTCCGACATGACCCAGTTACAGATATCAGGGTTGTCCATGATCGTATTAACGCATTTCGTAAGTTTGTATTTGAGAGTGAATATATCGGTACAAATTAGGACCACAAAAAATTGATGATTGTTGGACAACAGCCGGCGTAATCAAACACCTATTCCCTCAACGAGTGATACCATCATGGATTCACGTAAAGTGTTTGAAAAGAAAATAATGTAAGGGTCAGGACGACAATATCAATCCGTGGACATTTAAAATTAATGGATGAATGGTTAAAATCAATGGATGTATGCTTAAAAGCAATGGATGTATACTCAAGATCAATGCATCCATGCTTCAAATTAATTTTTACACATTATTTACTGTGACACAAACGGTTGCATGGTGTTAGTAACGAGCTATCTCTATTTTCTTAGATATAGGGTATGTTCTTATTCTCTTGAAGCCATTTTTTTTCTTTTTTTTTTGTTTTCAATATATCATTTTTTCATGGTAATCTGTCCAATATTCTTATTTTAAACTTGCTTTCAAGACGAAAAGTATAAGTTGAGGGAATTATTAGGACGCAGTTATTAATTTTGATGATCAATAATAAAGATTTATTTTTATTAACAAAAATATGAAATGTAAGCATTAGACATATCTAAATACGGCATATAACTCACGGTATAAGTAAAAGACTATATGGAATAAAATAGGACACATTCAATACCAGACAAAACATTATAGATATGCTCCCTGAAAAAAGGAACCTATTATGCCTCATGGTTAAACCACAAGATTCGTTTTAAGATTATACCACGCATAGTCTCATTCTCTAAAAAAAAACGCATGTACTCTCCGCATGGTACAACCTATCTCGGTCTATATAATGAATAATGTCGATACATTCTGGAGTATTCCGGTTTTCTAGCGTTCATTTCTTGCTTAGATAACAGACTACTGTAATTGCATATATTTATTTAAATTGCATACCTCTTCTGTCCGTTATTTACGCCACATGAATATTTATCTAGGCAGGGTAAATGGTATATTAATTTTGAGTTAAATATAAACTTAGGTCACAAATATAGACATCTATACCCTTTCCACTCACCTGCGGCAGTCAAGCCTCCCGGTAGGAGTGTGGACGTACTGATTTAATTAATAAAGACGAGCACCCTAAAACCTAAAAATCATCTCACCCTTCTCATTTATCTTAACAGGTAAAGCATTTATATATGACAATTAAATCGGACGTTTGAGTTAAAAAGCAAGCAAACCGAGCCTCCAACACTAACATCGGCCTTGACATTAACTAATGTGGGTATTTATCCGGCTATGGATGGTTAAGAGCTCATTCACAAAAATAAGCTGGCGTGGTTTAAAATTTTGAATCGGGCCTTTATTAATTTTCAAAGGTTAAAAAATTTTCTTGCTTTTTTTTTCCAAGTCCTCATCTTAGCTCATTCTTATTGAAATAATAACACAAGAAGTAGAATCTTGGTATGTCACCTTCTTTACATTAGATGAATGTTTCACCATTTTCAGCAATCTCACAATTGTGACAATGACTGCAATGTTACTAACAACTTTTTTCTCATTTTTACTTGCGTAGTGCACAAACGTTGAAATACAAGAGCTACACAAAACGTAGAAACGTCTTACTTTATCGAATTTGTATTCAAAAAAATACGGTCTTCCCATGTATCAGTTAGTCATATGTGAAATCTTACCAGATCTTATTATACCACTGTTAATTTGGCTTTGAGAAGAAAGCCAAAGCATACCTTGTCGTTTCGTGATTCAAGTCAAACAAAACGCGGCTATTACCACATTTATCAATGTACTTTGATTTCTTTTCTTTAAAGAACCTAGTGGAGTATAGGTGAGAATTTTGACCAAAGTGCTACCGCTGTGGAAATATTTCACACTTATATAGATTGGACGAATTGGCTCCGGTAAAGTATGAATTTTTTTTACTACTATTTTAAGAACCTGAAAAAAGACTAGTTAGTCATGATATCTTTAGAAAAAAGAAAACCATCATCATCACTGCTACTTAACATAAGGTTTTGATACCAAGTCTCGAATAGGTGACCGAAATTCACATTCCAGCAGGATGATCCACGAAGTCAGATAAATGTAAATCCTGTTTGTATTTCACATCAGGTAAAAGAGCCGTTCGTTCCATGATACTGTTGGTATTTCTACCCCAGTGACTTTCGATCTTTTTTTTATGTAAATTTCTGTTAGAGTATGTAGTGGTGCAATACAAAATCCTTAAATAGTATAACTAAATAAGTCATTTCAAAAATTTGACAGAAACAGAAGGAAGAACAGAACAGTGGTTTGATTGGCGCATGTTGAAAGTGTAATTACAGAGAGATATGGGTTTTTGATTACCAACTTGTCAGGTTTTCTTTTGTGAGGCGTGAGTAATGTGCCAAAAATTAGGAATAATTACTTTACTGACCTTTTGATCTCCAACCTAGTGTCTATTGGCTGATACAGCAGCAGGAATTCTTACAATATCACAATACGTCTTGTACTTCTCTTCATCCGCCAAGTGTTCATCGTGATGTCTCACTTTATCATAACAAATAGCTTTTTGAAGCAGAAAAAGCAGCGTTTTTATGCAGGACAGAAGCCACATTATCATATAATGTGACATCCTCCGAAAGTTAGCCATGCAAAAGGAGGTTTGCCGTCGATAAGGTACCGTGGTCATACACCCACCCAGCAATATCTCGTAGACCATACAGCTATTGTGCCTATCACCAATCAATGGCTGCAAAATTCGGCTAAATTTCATCGTTTTATAATTTTATCGGTTAGAAACGTACTGATATCTCGGAATAAACGGATGATTTCAATTCAATAACAGCAGCAGCAACATTTCGTTCAAGTGTTGCCTATCTTTGTTGGAAAGAGAGTGCCGCTGTACCTGCAGTAGTAGTATTGGGTGGTGTCACCGAAGAAACAGCAATTGCTGGTGTAGGAGCGGTTTTTGGTGCAGCGATGAAGAATACAGGAATATCCGTGAGTCTCATTTGGTCACTTATGAAAGGGGGTTTATTAAAATGTCAATTTAACTCATTTTGTGTAGTTTATATGCGCGATTTTGCTCCACTACATATTCTTTGTCACGTTAAGTTAATGGTAAGGTGTTTAACCAAAGAAACGTTTTCAGTCGTAAAACGTTTCATCATAATTCTTTGTTTTTGGACGGTGAAAAGATAATCTCTTGTTTTCTCTATGAAGATGGTCAAAAACTGGTTCGGACGTTATTTTAAGTGGCTGTGCTGGTTTGACATACAAAGCTTTTATAGTATGAATGTTGGAAGTAGGAAAACTTTAAACATGTGCCAGAAACTCTCATCGTGATGGTAGAAATGAAATTGGACAGCATGCAAGAGTTACAGCAGTTTATTTTGTAAGTGTATAAATATAGCGCTCTTTCGTTCTCTCTTATGTTAACTCGTATTTAGTGAATGTCAAGTGGTAACCGGGGAAAACTCCAGGAAATTGTTCCACACATGCCACTATAGTCCTGTAAAACGTCACTAATCTAAAACGACAGGTAATACGCTCTAATTTCATGCTGTAATTTTATACGTATACTAAATGATAATTTACTATGTTATAGTAAAACTAGCGTTTCTAAAGCGCAAAATGGGGGACTTCTTTGAATATGTGATTCGGTGGCCGATAGGACAGGTATTACCAAAGAAGCAAAATGGCCTTGTTTCTTGTTAGTTTCGCTTTTGAATGGCGACGTCAATCGATGGATCTTTTAGAATTATCTCTATAAGTAACGGTAATGTCTGGATAGCCGCCTGTTGCTGACTGGAATAAATACTGTACTGGACGTTCTCTATTTCGCTCAAGAAGAAAAAGATCATCCAATTTTAAAATTCAATTGGTCTATCAT